TGTTACGAATAAGCAAACTTCTTTAGTCTTTTTCACATCTATTTTATTTGCTTGTCATTGAAATTGTCACGTAGAAACTGAAATGAACAAAATACATCAAATTAAGAAATTATCCTTAAATTATGTTACAATTACAACTTATAAAGTTCCTATTAACTGTTTAAATTACTAAATGATTCATAAAGTCTTACCTCATTGCGGGAATTAGTGACTTTTAATGATCAGAACATAACTAACTATAAGCGCGTGCTCTAGTCAAAAAAGTAAAACGCTATCTCCACCGATGTGCATAACAGCTAAGACGGGCCAAAACCTTAACATTTTATATGCTACTTATGGGCTAACGCTAAATAAATAAAATGGCACTTAAAATGCGATGACTAAAATGTGTTTAAATCCTGTTTCTTGACAGATGTAGGCCTATCATCAATGCAGTAATCACATGTTTGAACCCCAATATATTCCTTAAAGAATGCTGAATTGATACGCAGGTATATCAATGTGACTCTCGTGCTTATCCGGTGGATTAGAGACCTAGCTAACTGCTGAAAACAGACCCTATGGAAAGGAATCCACGTCTACATATCTAACACTAATATGCTTCAATATGGTAGTGCATGATTAAACAGCGACTTTTTTTAGTTGCAAATGGCGCCATTTGACCTCCCCGTACAAAGGAGACGCCTGGTGGGTGTTACAGTAGAATTAATTCTTACTCCAGCAAACTGGTACCACACTGCCTTTGGGGTATCGGGGTTAGTGGTGGGATATCAATAGGGCCTATACCCCATAATTACACGTATCTTTCTTTTTTCTCTATTTTTCTAAATTTGACATCCGCCCTTGCCTGTTGTTATCTTTAGCCCCGCGGGCACTGGCATCTCTTATCCCCCCTCCTCATAACCCTCCACCATACATGTAAAACCATCATCCCTAAACCCCTTATTCATAGCGACCGTTCATAATTAATTTTGTCGACATCGACCCTCATTTTCAATATATAGAAATATAACAGTTAATAGATTTATCCGTTCTCACACAGAAATATCCATTTAATATTTTTTAAAATTTTATTAAAAGTAAGCGAGCGGAATACTTGTTTGTCCGTGTGGAACTTTACTTTACTTTACTTTACTTTACTTTACTTTACTTTGTTTACTTTACTAAGATGTCTAGCAATTTAAATCACTAAAAATAATAGGCCTATCTAGATTTATCCGTTCTCACACAGAACACCGTAAACGGGCTTTAGGGACATAGGCCTAATTTTAAACCTTCGTTACTGTCGCTCGCAGCAACATCTCACTTTCTCCAATCGATCTAGCTTATTTTTACTGAAAGAGAAAATCGACCGCTTGTCAGGAAGCATATGGGCCTGTCTTACGTACGTCTCATAAAATGTCTGAAATGTTTAGGACCTACTTTCGCAGTGTCGTTTTTTAAATTGTAAAATATTTACGTCTTTTAGCGATGGTCATTATTTTTAGTTTTATGATGTTTTTTGTAATATTTCAGCCTTTGATAAAATTCTCAAATCAGTTGCATCCAGTTTTAGCATAAGCATCGTCTCCGACCTCGTACGTAGGCCTATTATCACTGCCGTATTACGGAACAAAACCGGAAGTTTTCCCTTTTTACCCAGCATGCAGCGTAAGTTTCAAGCGTCTGCTAGGCACGCTATCACCTCATACAATTGAAGTGTTAGCCTTTGAAAGTTCGTTGCTCCCAAATTTGATAAAAATATTAATGAACTTACGTTTATTAAGCAGGTTTTAAAGTCGTCTACCGCCCGCTCTCGTCTGCATATGTTACTGTCAGTGTCCCATCTCGATTTCTAACATTTTCATACTGGTTACGGGTAGATGCATCCATCGTCACGTCCCTCTTTCTACAGGCCTACTACTGTAAGTATTGTAGCTTGTCTCATCTCTTACATTGTTTGTGTTCCTTATTTTTGGAGAATTGAAATCATTTTCAAAACATCCACTTTCAGGAAAAACACGCAAAGTTGTAGTATTCCAAGATCTCATAAAAAATAGCTTGAATGTTCGGCAACGCTGTGGGTGTTTTCTGTGCTCTGTTAACTGCCGCTAGAGAACGCTACGAGCGCTATTAGGCTGACACAACTTGTGTCCTTAAATAAATTTGTTAACACTTCATGTTGCCTTTTTATAATCGGACTTTATGAGAAAAATAACCGTTACTGACCTTGTTCATGCACAATGAATTTCAGCATGCTACCGTCAGTGCCGTAAAGGAAGAAGAGAGAAGGAGGAAAACAGATCAAAAGAAGACCAAGAAAGAAAGGAAACGATTAAGGCACCGTAGCAGAGGGAAATGTCATCCTTGAAGAACCTCGGGTAGGAGCGGAGGCCCCCAAGTGAACCCAGTAGGCCAGCCCCGGTCTGGACTATTTGTAATGGTAGGCCCCATAGAACCACCAAGCTGCAGCACTAATGAGTTGATGGTCTACGAATTTATTCGTTGCGTTGACTGTAACGCGCAAGAACATCTCACTATATCTTTCGCATGCACGGAGCGATATATAAGATGTTTTGAACAATTTTTTCCAAAATAATTTCACACGCTGCTTATATACTTGTTCTTATAGGTCGGGAGAGTGTCTCAAATTTGCACATTTTATCTATTTCACATACGATACCTATATACGCGTCTCTTTATACGCTAGTGTGTGGCAGGCTTTACACATTTAAGGGATAATAACACTTCGTTTTGGCCAAAAAATGAATTTTCCTGGAGTAAACAACAATTTTCCCATACTTACCAATGGTTAATGAATCCATTTTTACATTCAAAGTTAGTCCCTGATTTTTTTCTAAAAAGTTTGGTTTTTTTTTTTAATCTCTTAAGAGATTATAACTGAGTACAGCCATCAATAGAGGTCAAGTGATCTGAAGACAAGCTCAGATATCAGAATAATAGCTATAACTGCCGTTTTGTGGTAAAACAGAATATATTATATTTCTATGAGTTGTTCACAATGTTTTTATTGTGAAATATAGATATCATATGAAGAGTTATTATCCCTTTAATTGTGAATTGTATCGTTTACGTATTATACAACATAGACACTATAGGTTTTCTTACTGATTAGCTTTTATTTTATAACATGATCATAGAAATATACTTATGGAAAAGGAAAATAAAACATCAGCGTTAACGTTATTAACTATGAAATGTAATGAATATTACTAATTCGTCTTAGTCTTTATTTTTTTCATTTTCTGATACTGTTCTTTTATAAATATCAGCAGCTGCTTTTCACTAAGGTATATGGAACCCAGGACCGACAGCCCGCAGACGACACCTATCCCGAAATGCACCAGTCTATAGAGATTGCCTTTATCACAGCATAGGAGTTGCTGGAAAAAATTAACAAATTTAAGTCTTGGTTCACACACACACCGAACAGTGACACACACACACACACAAACACACAGAGAGAGAGAGAGAGAGAGAGAGACGTGTTTGGAGCTGCCAATGAATAAATCATAGTAAATAGTAAAACACACGATGTTTTTACACTCGTTTGCAATTTTGCTCAAGTGGAGATTCTACATTGTACATCTTTTTTAATTTGAAAGCAGTAAAGACCGTGCAGCAGTTACAAAAAGGGGGAAGCTGATAAGACAAATAAGTCCAAAATAACACACTTATTATGATTCATTATTTTTCACATTGCACTTTAAATCTTTGGACTATTCTTCAGGCTTATTGGCTTATTTGAAAAAACGTCTGTTTCAATCATTTAAGAGATCTTTCACTATGATTTCCACTGAAAAATTCATGTCTATACCTCAGAGAGAGCTGTGATCAATAGTGAAGCTGTCAGAGAGATCATCACAGGTGCTGAAGGTAGGATGCCTCTTAGAGGGTGAAATTCACTGCCCTTGTAGTACAGGTTGATGAAGTAGACACTGGAATAACAAGACATCTATCTTAGTGGAGTAAATGCCCTTTTTCACACAGAACAGTAGATATCTGCACTGCCGGTATGAGAGGTTGACAATTTGATAGCCTGGCTATTACACAGAAGATTCACAAAAACAAACCCTCCCTCCCCCCTTTACTTGACAAAAACCATCTAACCGATTTACTTTTTATTGTTAAGTTGAGTCTTGAGAAAGAGAGTAAAACCCAATGCAGAGTAATATGTTACGACCAGTCAAACTTATGCTGCATAGAAAACTGTACCTCTCAACATGACAAAGTCAGCCCTCAGTTATTATGTTATTTCAGGAAAAAAATTAATTTGTGAAGTTCACATCTGCAGAATAATTACAGTACCTACCTATGTATTATTCTAGCTAGCATGTTCAAACAGTTGGCCAGGATGAAGCCTACACTTCCCAGCCACTGAGTGAGAGACCAGGATGCCAGCAGAAACAGCAGAGAAAACAACATCATTTTGTAGTTATATCTGGAATGTTAAAGGTAGAAAATACATGGCATTCTAACTGACTAGTTATTTAGAAGTAAACCACTTAATAAGAAATTGTATAAAACATCACATTCAAGCGGGAAGAGAAATGTTTTGTGAGTTGGAGAAAATTCCATTTTTTTTCTCAAAGAAAACTGTTTGGAAAAGAAAATCTAGGATAGGATATCTTTAGAATATTTCAAATAATTGTGCCTGCAAATAACTTAAAGATAACAATGATTTGCAATCATACTTCAGTTGCTCCCCTACAGTTTTGAATATTTCTAAATATTGTTAATTAAAATGCACATCCAAAAGTGCACTCCCAGGCTGTATTTCACACATAACTTGAATTAAATAGACAAAACATTCACAGCAACATAAACTGTGACACTCAAACATATATAGCCAATCATGTGCTGTTTAACAAGTTGCAGACTGACCTATCAACATCCAGCTTACTCATAGCTGCAAACACAAAACATTCGGTGGTGCCATTGATTGCAATGATGAGTACATAGAGGCAGTACACTCGCAGTAACACTGGACCTGGAGATACGAGAGGAGAGAGAGAGGTAGAAAAAATTCAACTTTTTAAATGATGATGTGCAATAAAGATCAAAAAGCATTCTCATTATACTGTTCTATCATAAACTGTTACTAGTGAAGCACTGTATCATCATTATTTACTTGCATCATTGCTGAAATCAGAGCTAATGTTAGGATTCTACTAGCCCAAAGCAGACAAGGTCCCCAGTAACAAACACATTTATAAATTTCACCGCCAAGGCTTTAATTTCTCTGACATTATGCTAGCACCAGAGTTCATCTTGCAGACTATTATCTAGACTAGTCTTAGGTAAACAGAGGTGTGTTATTTTACCTGGTCCTTGACTAAGAGTGTTCCCTCCATAAAGGTCCAGGAACAGGTAGGAGTACGAGTAACCAAATATCAGCACGATGAGCCCTATGTATGTAACAAGTTTTAGGAGACTTTCCAGAACTCTGGACGCAAGCAGAATTGTGTCCTGCAAAACAGAATTTTGATGAGCTAGATATATTATTTTGAGACCAATTTCTCACAATTAACAAAATTAAGAAATAAAAATTAAAAACAATGGTCAAAACTGCTGAATACATGTACCTTTGCTTCACTAATTCGTGATCAAAGCATTATCATACAATATTGATTAAAATCTATTTAATCATATTAAATCCTTATACAAACATCTGAATTTTTAAAACTTATTTTGGTCTTTTTTCACTATACCCTCACATGTAACAATAACTGAAAAAATAGAGTCAGCTGATATTAGACACTGATGCACATGAAGAGTGGTGTATTGTACTATCTGACGGAAAAATATATGAACCGACTGCAAAAGTATTTGACATCTTTTCTATGTTATGTTACTAGTTATGACCTTGTTCTGCTCTTTTATAGGTACTTCTCTGGTTAATGTTTGTGAAAAAAACAGGTAACCGCTCTCTTCGACTGCTTGAAAGATGAACCTTGCAGCTAGGGAACCGAGATTATTGATGACATCATATACTCCCTGCTCGGCAAAACTGAGAACCCCAAACACTGTCATGACATAATATTCACCTGGAGAAAAAATATTGAAACAAATATTTTGTAAGCATCAGCCTATTTGTATCAAATGACTTTAAACTAATGTCTATTCATTATATCTAAGCAATTAAAAATATTCTGAGTTTTTTCATCTCTTGGGAACTTTTATAAGAGGATCCAGAAATTTGCTAATTAGGGGCTTTAGAGGAGCCATAAGGCTATTTCTTCAAAGACAAACATTTACATGGAGGGCACAAGGATGGAAAAATAATGGATTTCTGTCTCTTTTCACTTAATATACTTTAGGTGGGGAGGGGGGGGGAGAAAGAGGAGAAGGTACTGTATCTCTGAGGCCAAACTGGGGGCGTGAGTCCCTCAGTGTCTGTTTGGAACATTCATGTTTTACCAAAAACTAGTCCAATACTTCATGTAACGATTCACTTGCCTTCAGTCAGGAGTTGCTTCAGAAATGACTGTTTGACAAAACTCCAGGTCAGCACCACCAAATGTGTACTAATCCATGGCTGTGAATGAAATATGTTTACATAAACAATATACATTCCTTGTCCAACAAAGTAAAACATGCCCTACTGTTGAAGTTACCAGGAAAGTCCAAAGTTTCCAGTTAGCTTTCAACAATTATTAGAACAACTTACTAGTACATGAACAACCTCAAATTTTTGACAATAATCCTGATGTATATAATTCAGAGATTTTCCACAATCTCAAGTCTTCTATTAATAATTTAAATTTCATTTTACCTTTCCAGGTGCTTTTGTTGGTAAAAACTCTCTAACAGATTTCACTGGGAAACTGTCATCTTTCTTCTGCTGTGTGGAAACATACCAACTGAAGTAAGCATAGTACGCAGTCACCCATAACACAGTGAACACCACCTGGAAACAAGATTATGATAAACTATGACAAAAATGGAATTATTATAATAAAATCTGATACAAAAACTTAATTTTTAAATGGAAGTAACAGTGTTTCAGCCTGATAACATGTGGTCACTATGTTCCAGCATGTCACACACATGCACTGGCAAAATGTCCTAAATTGTTTAAATAAAAAAATAATAAAAAAAACATTTAAGACAAGAGATGAGGGTACTAGCCAAACCACACAACTTCTCAGTATGGAACTGCCTGTGAATATGCACACACCCACGCACACACACACCTACGCACTCACACACACACACGCACACACACACTTGTATAGCCTCATATCCACACAACAGCACACATCAAACCCCACACAAATCTTACCTGTGCTACTGAAAAGGCAATTATCCCCCAGTCAGGAAAATACATCACCAGTAGAATATTGATCATACTCCTGGTAATAATACACACACTTTCTATCACTGCCTGGAATGTAATATATAGACACATGGTAAAATACACCACCAGTAGAATATTGATAATACTCCTGGTAATAATACACACACTTTCTATCACTGCCTGGAATGTAATATAGATTCACATGATAATACTATATATTGACCATCATCTTCAAAACCCATCAAAATACAACTGAGCAAAAAAAAGGTTTGTCAATGAAAATTGTCACTCAAAAACTTTAAGCCATAATTTGCCTCATTTCCCTTGGCAATTTACAACAAAAGACAATGAAAAAATTACTATACTTTGTAGGATACAGATATGGAAAAATGCTTGGTTTTTGTCTCATTTCACTGTTTCTTAGGCAGGAGAAGAAGTACCTTGGAAGTCCTAGATCAGGCCATGTTTAATGTGTGATTAAAGGATCAATTCAACAACAAAGAGGACTGGTTGCCAGGATATTACCTTCAGTTTTACAAACAGGAAAGCGTGGGCCGTAAGCCAGACAGGTTCTGACAATATCTCAATCACAGCACAGGAGGCATAGCTGTATACGCCAATGTGGTAGTTTGGCATCTGAATAGGATCAGGAACTTCCAACAGATAGAGCCACACGTAACTGAATACCATGGCAGTCAAAATTCCAATAGGGACTCTGAATTAAGAAAAAAGACAGAAACATTTGTAATATCTGTAATAAAAGCAATGCAAAAAGTGTGTCCATACTGAATTCGGGGTAAAATATTTGGCCTGAAATGGTATACTTCGTACTGTCGTGTAATGCATCTTGTCACAACATACTCAAGGTTAGGGAAGAAGAGTTGGATTTGGTGTGGAATTTCTGGCTAGGATATGTTTCATATGCACACGGTGAATGTGTACCCCTGTATTTATCCACACACCCCCACTACTTACATACACCAGACTAAGTTGATGACCTGTCCCACTACTTACATACACCAGACTAAGTTGATGACCTGTCCCACTACTTACATACACCAGACTAAGTTGATGACCTGTCCCACTACTTACATACACCAGACTAAGTTGATGACCTGTCCCACTACTTACATACACCAGACTAAGTTGATGACCTGTCCCACTACTTACATACACCAGACTAAGTTGATGACCTGTCCCACTACTTACATACACCAGACTAAGTTGATGACCTGTCCCACTACTTACATACACCAGACTAAGTTGATGACCTGTCCCACTACTTACATACACCAGACTAAGTTGATGACCTGTCCCACTACTTACATACACCAGACTAAGTTGATGACCTGTCCCACTACTTACATACACCAGACTAAGTTGATGACCTGTCCCACTACTTACATACACCAGACTAAGTTGATGACCTGTCCCACTACTTACATACACCAGACTAAGTTGATGACCTGTCCCACTACTTACATACACCAGACTAAGTTGATGACCTGTCCCACTACTTACATACACCAGACTAAGTTGATGACCTGTCCCACTACTTACATACACCAGACTAAGTTGATGACCTGTCCCACTACTTACATACACCAGACTAAGTTGATGACCTGTCCCACTACTTACATACACCAGACTAAGTTGATGACCTGTCCCACTACTTACATACACCAGACTAAGTTGATGACCTGTCCCACTACTTACATACACCAGACTAAGTTGATGACCTGTCCCACTACTTACATACACCAGACTAAGTTGATGACCTGTCCCACTACTTACATACACCAGACTAAGTTGATGACCTGTCCCACTACTTACATACACCAGACTAAGTTGATGACCTGTCCCACTACTTACATACACCAGACTAAGTTGATGACCTGTCCCACTACTTACATACACCAGACTAAGTTGATGACCTGTCCCACTACTTACATACACCAGACTAAGTTGATGACCTGTCCCACTACTTACATACACCAGACTAAGTTGATGACCTGTCCCACTACTTACATACACCAGACTAAGTTGATGACCTATCCCACTACTTACATACAGTACACTTGACTAAGTTGATGACCTGTCCCACTACTTACATACACCATTCTAAGTTGATGACCTGTCCCACTACTTACATACACCAGACTAAGTTGATGACCTGTCCCACTACTTACATACACCAGACTAAGTTGATGACCTGTCCCCAGTTTTGTTTACTGCTTTTACTGACACAAGCTCTTCTGAAGCCCTCCCTGGCCACTAGCAATATGGTACTGTGTAGTAAGATAAGTCTGAAACAAAAGATAAAAAGCTGTGAACAGGGAACTTTCATAGAATGTGGTACTGGTAATGGGGTTACTTGCAAAAATGAGGTAAGAGACTCAGCAAAGAATTACATCAGCTGTGTTATACGTTTTTTGTGCCACAGGAAGCACAGTTTTCAATGTTTTAAAATTCTTTTTGGACCTACCAGAAATTCATAAGCACTTAAAATAGTCATATGTTTCAAATGTTGTGAATATGACTTATAATGCAAATTTCTATAATTTTGTATACTTAAAGTAGAGTTATAAAGGGGCTGTGCATACAATGTCATGCAGATTGAGTGTATGAAGAGATTTAGCACTTAAAGCATTTTAAGCACAAAGCAGTTATTTCTTTCTTCAGTCAACAGCTAGTCCTGAATTTGTTGCTGACCTCTCTCGTTGAAGCTATATTCTTGGTTTTTACCTGACATTAACAACCCCCAACATATGGCTGGTCACATAGTGCAGTAAAACTCCATTCATCACAAAACTCAAGACTCGGAACATTAGCTGAAATAAAGAGAATTCCAAATAATTTAGAGTTAGTGACACATGTAAAGCTGCATTAAAATGTCTTACTAGAATTTGACAAACGCATTCCGGATCACATAACTTGGCCTAACAGTTTCAGAGAAACTTAATTCTATTTCAATACTAAATCCAGCAAAGTAGTTTGTTTTATGGATTTTTGACCTAGCTGGTTAATAAATCAACAAATGGACATCTTTTACAGGTATATAATCTATATCATAGATACAATATGCTTCAGCAAATACAGTTCACGAAAAAGAAATTCAATGTAAATACGAATGCAACCGCAGGGATTATTGCTCTGAATGTACTAGTAGCACTGCATTATAAAGAATTTCCTTGACTAAACACAATGTAAACAACACAGTTAAAAGTCTGTGTTAAAATCGCCTTTGCCTTCTGGCCTTTCAGATATCTGGATCTAAGAATCTACTGGGAAAATTAGTAATAAATAGTGTCTCTACTTACATTGAGTAACATCCGATAAGAAGCAGAAGCTGCTGCACTTAACAGCACATTGGTATCATCTTCGACAGACCCCGACATTTTGTCCTCTGGGTAATGTGAGTGTTATTAACGAAATATTACTGTGTCGATTTCCTATCTCCAAGCAAGTACAACATACAGGTGCTGCAGAGATGTTGTTTTATGTAGACCAGCTACAACAAATCTATACATGCAGTATGTATTGTTAACAGTAGTATGTCAGATTGAAATATACACACTGAACATTCCATATAGTACTTGCATCTCATTCATTTTCTGGATGAAAACTATGTACGATTGCCACGCTCCAGTTTCGTGGGCGCTGCCATGTTTGTTATGATCACGTGACATACTAGTCAGATGGTATCGATTTTTTAAAGATTTGCTAATTATATTCAGTCTGAACGGATGCTTTTATTTAATTTTCTTCGATAGGCTTAGGGCTGTGATCCTTTTTTTCAATTCAAGCAAAGGGCAAACAAAATTCAAATTCGAAAATAAAACTGAGAAGTCTCACAACTTCATTTCGCGAGAGAGGATACAATTTTCCGAACTCCCGCCTTTTCTTAAAAGACTGAACTTCATTGATCAACTTTAGAATGCCGAAAGCTAAGAAGAAAACCCAACGATCACAGCGTTCCTCACAGGCAGAGTCTTCGGTAAAATCCCCTCACTTTATGCTATGGTAACCGTGTTTATTTCAACTAGAATGACCGCGAAAACTGCAAATTGTAATCAGCGATTGCGATCACGACAAGCCTTGTATACTAGTTAAACTGCTACTGTTTTCGTAATGTAATTGTATATATTATAGTGTAGTTATCAATTCTCAAATATGCGAGATCGGGTCCTATTTAGCTTAGAAACGTAACACCCTGCAAAATACTTTATAATTCTTCTCTCTCTCTCTCTCTCTCTCTCTCACACACACACACATGCTCATGACTCATGCTATAGGATGAAGAAGTGGAGGCGACCCAATCCCTGACACAAGCACAGAGAGCGGTGTCCAACTTCTCCCAGGCAGATATACAGAAGAAGGTATTAATACTTGTTAATTAAAAAAATTCAGTGCCTCCGTTTTAATGATAATTGATTGGATACACGCTGAAGTTTAGTACCAACTATCATAGTTTTTTCAAAGCTGTCTAACTTTGTATGCAATTAAGGGCCAAGTTACAATGAGTTTTGTCAACCTAGCTAATGTGCACCAACTCTGCAGAGACTCTCGCTGAATGCAATCATATTAACAGTCTCATCTCCTTTTTTGTTTTATTGCAACTAAAACTACTTTACTATAGGACATATGTTAATGTATTATTTAACCACAATTTAATGTAACTTTTATCTTTCTTTCCTGTAAGGTAACAGAGCTGGTGCAGTACATTTTGATTGCAGACCAGAAGAAAATTCCAATCAAAAAGAAAGGTGTGTGCTGCTTCTTTAACAAGTGTTTTCTGGGAACAAATGCCTGTATGTCTTGTCTTTTCTTGAATAGCGACCTCTATTGTCTTTGTTTGTGGTGAATTGTTTGCTCCTGTTCTGCCAAGGTTTATGAAAACTTCATTATTTTGCTTTAAAATGTCACAAATGATGACCAAATTTGAATGTTTCCAATACTCAGTGCACTTTTCTATTTTTACAATATTTTTTCACTTGCTTACAAAGACTTTCTGACAGACACCATCCATTTTTCAGTTTAATCTTTTCAGACGTTAAGAACAGAACATTTATTTGGGGAATTCAAATTATCGCTGTTCTTAATTTTTAGTAATTCGGATTAAGGTCTGAATGGTATATTGTAAAGTTTCTGTAGCAGAACAAAAATCACACTGACATGACTAGATTACTGTCAATAATTGTTCTGTTGTACCATTATCAGCAACACAAGCCTTCTACCATTTTATATGTTGTAGAAATCAACAGACATGTCCTGAAGGAAATGAGCAAGAGTTTCCCAATACTGATCAAGAAGGCAGAAGAACAGCTGCAATATGTAAGTGGATTCAGTCCACCAGGCCAATTTTTAGACTGTGTTCCTATAAACCCATTGTACTAGCTGGAGCTATCTAACTCTGCAGGGCTTCTTGCTAAAGTGCTTTTAGTGTAATCAGCTTAATTGTCTGGCATGTTCCCTTGAGTAACTAGAGGGTAATTGACTTTCGTTTATTACCCCTTATCAGCTTGAGTTGGCGTGCCAGACATTTAAGCCGCTTACACTGAATGCAATTCAGCGAGAATCCCTGCAGTTTTAAATCTATCCACTTGTACATGGGAATGCCCCCTTAGTCTTATGCCAAATGCCAGTAACATTTAGTAAATATTCAGTTCTTTGGGTCTATTTCCGTAGCCCATGAGAACATCCCCCCTCATCCTTCATAACATTTGGTTTCCTGGACCTATTAACCAACCAATTAAATCACCTCAACAGTATTGATGATTTTTGTAACAAATCCAATTAATTGATGAATAGTTCATCACATCTATCTAGTAAACATATCTTACCTGTCTAAGGTGTAAAGCTACTGTATTATTCCAGGTGTTTGGATTTAAACTGCAGACTGAGACGACGGGTAAACAGACCAGTTACATGCTGATCAATGCCATAGATCTTAATGAAGATGAACCACATCTGAAATGGTAATGTTTTCATTTCCAGTGAAAGTTAAGTGTTTAGTTCTTTTGATAAAGATAGACAGGGACATAGACACCAGTGAAACATATTACATTTTGGTCTGAACAGGAACATATTATATCCTGATCTGTCCAGTGTTATATGCCATAATGTGATCGAAAATGGAGTCAAATACAATACTACAGAGAGTCCCTTTCATCTTTACTTGTATTATGTTCTATTAATATTTTCATCTGTAAGGTTAAAAGATCTCATTTCTTTTCTCTCTCTTCTAGGTCCCCGGAAGAAAATGCCAAGACTGGTCTTCTGATGATTATCCTCAGTCTTATCTTTATGGAGGGGAATGTAGTCCCAGACAGTAAGTTTTATTTATAATGAGAGAATGGCTGCATTAACAACAAAAGTTGATTCGCTGACTAACAGAGCTGTGGATCAAATATGGCAGACCCACTTGAGTGCTTGTGGCCGAATGCCCAAGGGGAATCTATCCAAAGTCTATTAGGGGATTATGCAACAAGCTTTCAAGTTGGTTGACCATATTTGGTCCCTGGCTCTGTTAGTTTGAAGATCAACTTGGTCTGAGTGTGCCCAATGATATCTTAAAGTGCTTAAATAAAAGTCAGTAAAATTTTTCATGAATACAGTAGATAAATCAAGTTTTTATTGTTGTGATTCAAGTATTAATCCTTTCAATTTCTACCAAAAAATAGAGCTATACCTGACAGAGCTTTCGATCACATCCGTGATCTTCTTCAGTGTGATGTCATATGGGACGATCACTGCTCACCAGTGCTTTGGTGATTGATTTTATTGTATGTAACATTTAATGTTTTATTCTCTTTATTTTAGCAAAGCTGTGGCATACACTGAAAAGGCTTGGGGTAGACTCAGAGTATGTTTTCTCTAAATTTTCCTATATTTACCACCCAGCTATTATTGAAACAATGTCAAGAACAGGCCTACCCAACTACCAGACTCGGCACCTAAGGATCCTGAATTAACCGGTATATCGGACCACGCTACCCGTTTTCAAGGTGTGTGTCAGATCGCATTTCGGAGTATCATACCCCTGAACAAATTTTGTAGCACGACTGCGGGCTCATCCACGCTCGGCTGAACAACCTTAAACTGTACTCTTACTTTAGAGTACTCTATTTTATTGTCTCTATGGGGATATATGGGGACTTTACGACATTCGGTTTGAATGTTTTAACCACTTTTGATAGGGCTTTTTTGCATTGTATTAGATTAATGTGGCAGTCTAAGGTTCATCTAGGTGGCTTTCAAATTTATGCACCCGGTTTTAAAATCATATAGCGATTTTACGACAATCGTTTACTATCCAATCAAGGTGACAGCCGAGCATGCCAGGGCTCATCCTGTCGGTGTTCTGGCTGATACTCCGAAATGCGATCTGACACACACCTTGAAAACGGGTAGTGTGGTCCGATATACCGGTTAATTCAGGATCCTTAGGTGC